ATTGTGTCCCTGATATAAAATGACATAATCAAGGTTTGCTTATTGGGATTTTTTTTTTAATATTTTCAAATTGTGGATGGTTGAATCCATGGATGAAGAATCCATGGATATGGAATGCTGACTGTACTTACGAACTCTAGAAACCTATAATTTCTATATAATCTTAAAAAACACAAATGATAACACTTGTGAATGAGAATTACAGTGATCTAATAAATGGTACAGTGGGCCATCAGTATCCACTGGGGTTTGGTTCTAGGATCCCCCGTGGATACCAAAATCCGTGGATATTCAAGTCTCATTATATGTAATGAGACAGTAAAACAGTGTCTTATATATAAAATAGCAAAGTCAAGGTTTGCTTTTTGGAATTTATGTATTTCAAAAATATTTTCAACCTGTGGATGCTTGAATCTTTGGATAAAAAATCTGTAGATATTGACAGCTGACTGTTCTTGGAAGATCAGAAGGATCCAAAACAATCATAAAGTCTTCAGTTTTGAAAATGACCAGACTTAAGAAGAACATCAATAACACTTGTTCCTCACCTACTGGTGAGCACAGTGTTCAGAGAATATCTATGGTGTGCAACCTGCCACCACATATTCAAAGTTGTTTCTCCCCACTGGAAAAGTGTCATGGTTCACAGCTGCTCAATCCATGCTATGATGACATTACACCTTGTACAAACTAGGATAGGATGGTCTGATATTCAGTCTCATATTGTCCAACTGAATTAAGAGTGACCATCAAAGGACAAAATTAATGTGCAAAAAAAATTACAATTTATGCCATCTCTCTTTTCCAAGTAAAAGGAGACAAAATCAACTAGGCAAAAAGCCCAAGTGCATTTAAGAGAATTTTATTTTCACACATAGGGATAAAAAGGAGGAGCAGACTGTATTAATATATTCTTAATTATAATGAAAGAATTTTAGCTTAGTTTTTAAGAAAAAAACTTAGAAAAGAATCATGTATACTCTGCTGAAAAACACCATAAATTTTACTTATTATTAATATGGTATGGGTTTGTGGCTTTTGTTTTTCTTTTTCTTTTTTTGATAACCCATATAAAAGGGTTAGCTTGCTCCCTTGCTTCCCTCATCGTGTTTAAATTGCATTAAAAAGTAATATTTTATATTCAAAGTTGGATACTGAAACGCCTGCTGGCAACAATCATTATTCTGCTGAATGACATTTATGACACTGCATACCCTGCATCACATTATAAACCAGATTTTCTTCCTGTTTAATGTCAATTTAGCAATAAGAACTTCAATCTTTAGTATTTATACATATAATTCTAGGCATTTATTACATACCTTGAAGCAATGTCATGGCAATTTGTGAAAAAATTGGACACTTCAAAAATGTCAAAAGGATACAGGCAGTAAGCAACACTACCATCTAAAATTCTTTCTTTGTCACACTCAGGAGACTGTACAAATGTTATCAGGTTGTTAATTATTTGATGATGGCTGCTAGACGCCCTTATATTAAAAACAACAACAAACATAACCAGTATAGGAGAATGGATTGCAATGGGATGGAATACCACAAAGAGTAGATGGGAAAGACAAGCATGTAATAATTGTATTAACTGGACACCACTTGCCCACTTTTGTACACATGATGCTTGATATCCTAGGGCTGCAATTCTGTTGTGACTAGAGGTTCTCCTTTACTTTTGTAAAAAAAATTAAATATAAATATACAGGTTAAATATTCCTTCCTGAAATCCTTGGTACCAGAAGTGTTCCATATTTCAGATATTTTTATACAGGTATTTTCAGAATACCTGTATACATACACATAATGAGACACAATGGGGATGGAGAGAGACTGAAGTGAGAAATGGCCAGAGGTGTGGATTCCTGCCATTTCACAAACCTTGACATCACTATCTAGCCTCGCAAATACAGTACAGATAGATACTATGCTATTTGTGTTGAAGATCAAAAAGTTTTGGATTGTGGAGTATTTGAATTTTGGAATTTCAAAAAAGGGATACTCAACCTGCATTGCATTTAAACCTGAAGCTAATAGAAATTATCTTTCATATAGGAATATTGAAATTATATTACAGTTGCCCCTCTGTTTTTGCGGGGGATCCATTCCAGACCTCTCCGCGAAAATGGAAACCCACACGTATTCAAGCCCCATAGGCTTGAATGGAGGCACGGGGAAGTGCAGGGGCACGCACCCCATTGTATGCTCCTCCATTTGTCCCTCGCACATAAGCAAGGGAAGCGGATCTGAAGTCCATGAAAATGAAGTGGCGACTGTACTGTGACCAAGGCAGTCTTCCTGCCAATGCTCCAAGGCTATCTTTTCATCTAAGAAACATCCCTTGACTCCTTGGTCTTGATATTCACCACGTTTATACCTTTATTACACTTCAATGACTTAGATGAAAAAATAGGGGGCATGCTTAATTTGCAGATGATACCAAATTAGGAAGAATAGCTAATACCCCAGAAGACAGGATGAAAATTCAAAATGACCTTAATAGATTAGAAAGCTGGACCAAATCTAACAAAATGAATTTCAACATGGAGAAATGTAAGGTACTGTGCTTAGGGGGGAAAAAATGAAATGCATACATATAAGATGGGGGACACCTGGCTTAACAAGACTATGTGAAAGGGATCTAGGAGTCCCAGTAGACCACAAGTCGAACATGAGTCAGTAGTGTGATGCAGCAGCTAAAAAGGCCAATGCAATTTTAGGCTGCATCAATAGAAGTATACTTCTACTGATGTATAGTATCTAGATCAAGGGAGGCAATAGTGCCACTGTATTCTGCTTTGGTCCACCTGGAATACTGTGTCCAGTTCTGGAGACCACAATTCAAAAAGGATGTTGAAAAACTGGAGAGTGTCCAGAGGAGGGCGACTAAAATGGTGAAGGGTCTGGAAACCATGCCCTATGAGGAATGACTTAGGGAACTTATTATGTTTAGCCTGGAGAAGAGATGGTTAAGAGGCAATATGATAGGCCTGTTTAACTATTTGAAGGGGTGTCATATTGAGGAGGGAGCAGGCTTGTTTTCTGCTGCTCCAGAGAACAGGACCTGGAGCAATAGGTGCAAGCTGCAGGAAAAGAGATTCAACCTCAACATTAGGGGCAACTTCCTGACAATGAGAGCTGTTTGAGAGTGGAAGACACTCCCTTGGAGAGTGGTGGAGTCTCCTTCTTTGGAGGTCTTTAAACAGAGGCTGGATGGCCATCTGTCAGGGATGCTTTGATTTTGAGTTCCTGCATGGCAGAAGGGGGGTTGGACTGGATGGCCCCTGGGGATCTCTTCCAACTCTATGATTCTATTATTCTATTCCTTTTAAATGAATTAGGGTTGGGATCCCCACTGTCCTTCTCTTATACGTGTTTATCTTTGGTAGCGTGTTATCTGTGTCGATATTCTTGTGAATTCATTCAGCCAGTACTCCTTTTTAAAACAGGTGAACTTTAACTTTATTTACAAGCATATGTTAAGAGTGTATCTTTTCCCAGAATGTCTCACAGATCGCATGGTTACAGTAGTTACAAGCTATTTCTTATCCAGTTCCCTCACTGAATTCTTTGGAGCTAAACTGTTTCTTGCTTCTCGTAATCTTTTCCACTTAGGCCAGGGGTAGGCAACCTTTCCCCTTTAAGGGCCGAGGGACTTCAGCTCCCAGAAGCCTCAGCCATGTTGGCCAATAGTCCCATGTTGGCCAATAGCTCCTGGGATTCGGGGAGCTGAAGTCCCTTGGCCCTTAAAAGGGAAAGGTTGCCTACCCCTGATTTATACAGTAGACTCTCCCAATTCATGGGGGATTTGTTTTACACATCCCATGAAAATGGTGACTCACAAATATTTGAGCCCCATTGAAAATAATGGTGTGTGGGGCTGCACACCACCATTTTAATCCTACCGGGTTGTCTCTCCTGCAAAGAGTGAGACCACCGACTCAAAGTCCGCGAACAGGGAGGGACAACTGTAGTTTTTAATAAGGTACAGTCAGCCCTCATATCCGTGGACTCGTCATCCGCAGATCCAAGCACCCATGGATGGCAAGCCCACATTGTCCCCAATGGCAGCGTGTGCATGTGGTCACACTGTCATTAGGTCTCATGGCAGTGCTTGCATGCGGCCGCGTCGTCATTAAATTCCTTTGTCCCCAACAGCGGCACGGCTGCATGCACACACCAACACAGGACAACAGTGGCTGTCCCTAATGGTGGTCTAGCCGAGTGCATGCACCACCACTGCAGACAACATGCGCTTGCCATCTGTGGTTGCTTGGATCCGCAGATGGCGAGTCCGCGGATACCGAGGGCCGACTGTACTTAAATACCTTACAAAACAGCTATAAATAATAATACGTCCATTGGGTACAACGCAGACTTAAGCACCTGCAGATTTTGGTATCCACAGGGGGGGTCCGGAACGGATCCCCTGCGGATACCTAGGGCCGACTGTACAGTACAACTCCTGTATCTACAGGAACGGTATCCACAGTTTCACTTGCCCACATATGAAAAAAGTGTTTTCTCTAGACCTTTTCTAGGTCTTCCAGGGCAATTCTGTGCTTCTGGTGGAAGTTGCTTCTGGTAGAAGTTGACCACAGAGCCACACTGGAGTACCTAGAAATATCTAGAGAGGTGTTCTCTCTTGGAATCTTCAAGTCCTCCAGCACACTTCTACGATCACCTTCTGCTGGAAGTCATGAATTTTAATAGAATATGCAATTATCTATAGTTTCACATTTCCATGGTAGGTCTGGGAATGTATTCCCTATGGACATAGGGGTTGTACTCTACTTATGTTGCTATTCCTAAGGTAGTTACCTATGCGATTTTAAATTGTTGTTGTTGTGTCCCTTCAAGTCATTTTCAACTTATTGCAACCCTAGGACAACCTAGGTTTTCTTGACAAAATTTGTTCATAGGGGTTTGCTATTGCCTTCCTCTAGGGCTAAGAAAGTGTGACTTGCTTAAAGCCACCCAATGGGTTTCTGTAGCCAAGCAGGGATTCGAACCCTGGTCTCCAGAGTCACAATCCAGTACTCAAACACTGCACCACACTTGGTCTCAACATGATTTTATATTGTTGTTGTGGTGCCTTGGAATTATTGCCAACTTAAGGCAACCTGAAGATAAACATATCATGAGGTTTTCTGGGGCTGAATATGCGTGACTCACCCAAACTCACCCAGTGGGTTCCCAGGGCCAAACAGGGAATGGAGCCTGATCTCCAGAGTCCTGGTCCAACGCTCAACTCACTACACCACACCTCTCAGCGTGATTTTAAATATATGATTTTAAATAAATACATGTAAATACAAACGACCCACAACACCACCACTTCAACTACTTTGATCTATGTCCCCTCCACCCTAAAAGCTTGCTTGGACAGGCTGGAGATTCCTACATCATCCAATTTTCAAGCAAAAGAGGGCTAAATTATGTGTGTAGAGGTTAGATCACATTAGCATTCAGGTGTGGTGTGATGCTGGATTTAAACCTCTAAGAAAAAGTATCCTAGAAATCTAACCTCCATGCATTGAGAACAGGAATGAAACTAAAAACCATGTGAATCATGATGTACTTGTTAAGCTACGTCATCCCCTAAAATGGCATTGTAAGTACATATCTGGAAACTATCAAGAGTATTATCTTATTTTGCAAGCTACTGCTGAACGAAGCTTCTTTTCTGTTTCATCTCGATTTGTTTCAAGGGAGGGTTGAGCTAGTGGTTTGTACCACAAGCTGTAAACCAAATATAAACTAGAACATCCGCTGAGAACAGACTGTCTGTTAATCCCTACATCTGTAATATGAAGGATGGCTGGGAATATATAGAAAAATCTTTGATGACTGAGGAAAAGGTACCATTAAGATTTGAATTATACGTTCTGAGATAAATAAATGACCACATTCAGAGCACATTCTTCAAATCTGGACATTTTTACAGAAATGTTAACACATCACTCACACAGCAATACTCATGCTTCCATTCATAACTGTGTTCCATCTCCTAATATGAGAGTTTCTGATGTCCCTAATCCTATTTTAATTTATTTGTCATTTATTGCAGTTTGTTATTTTTAAGTCTGTTTTTAAATTTTGATTGTTTAATTGTATTTTAGGGGGGTGGGCTATTGGGGGATGGGATTGTTTGTTTTATCCTGTAAGTTGCCCCGATTGTATCTACAGAGAGGCGGGAAATAAATAAATAAATAAATAAATATTATTATTCCTGAATTCCAGGCTGTTTTCAATGACAAGATACAAGTCAGATCACTAAGTAGACACCCCACTTTTACTACCTACATTGCAATCCACAGTCTAAAAATATTCATAAAACACATAAATGCCAAAAAGCAAACCTTGATTTTGACACTTTATATAAGGGACACCATTCTACTATGCCATTAGATTTAGTGGGACTTGAGCATCCACAGATTTTGGTGTCCACAGGGGGTCCTGGAACCAAACCCCAGTGGATAGTAAGGCCCAACTGTATATTAGGGCATTTTAACAAAGATAAGTTCATCAGAAAAAATACAGTTGAATCCCTAAAACAGTACTGGGCAAGTCACAGGCTCTCAGCCTCAGAGGATGGCAAAGACAAACTTCCTCTGAACAAATCTTGCCAAGAAAACCCTTTGATAGGTTCGCTTTAGGGTCCCCCTAAGTGAGAAACGACTTGAAGAGACACAATAACAAACACGTAAAATAGCTATAAGTAAACCATATGAAGAGTTTATATTTATATTAGCCTTTTTAGTTTTTATTATATAATGTCAAGTGGTGTAGTGGTTTGGACCAGAGTTTGAATCCCAGCTCAGCCATGAAACCCACTGGGTGATCTTAGACAAGTCACACTCTCTCAGCCTCAGAGGATAGCAGTGGCAAACCACCTCGAAAGAAATCTTGCCAAGAAACCCTATAACAGGTTCGCCTTAGGGCTGCCATAAATCGGAAACGAATTGAAGGCACACAACACACACACAGAAAGAGGCCTCATTCGCACTGCACAAATAATTCAGTTTGACACCACTTTGACTGCCACGACTCAACGCTATAAAATTCTGGAAATTATAGTTCTGTGAGACATTTCACCTTCTCTGTCAGAGAGCTCTAGTGCCACAACAAACTACCAATCCCGGGATTTCAAAGAATGGAACCATGGCAGTTAAAGCAGTGTCAAACTGGATTATTTCTGCAGTGTGGCTGAGTGAGGTACCCCTGACCTCCTTTCAGGGTGACCAGACCTGGCCCTCATTTCCAGGACATGTCCTAGATCTCAACCTTCCAGGAGGAATTCCAAAATGTCCTCCATTTTGAGCAGGACTAAGAAGCATAAATTGACATTGACATTAGTGTTTTTTAGCTTTTCTTTGGCAACATCTTTAACTGAGAAACTCTGATCCAAAACACACTGAAGAAATAATCCAGTTCGAGACCGCTTTACTTGCCCTAGTTCAGTGCTATGGAATCCTGGGAACTGTAGTTTTGTGAGACATTTAGCCTTCTCTGTCAGAAAGAGCTCTGGTGCCACAACAAACTACAATTCCCATGTTCCCTAGCACTGAGTCCGGGCAGTTAAAGCGGTCTCAAACTGGATTATTCCTGCAGTGTGTTTTGGACTTCTGTTTTACTTAACATTTTGTGGGGCATTTGATGGTCTTCACTGCTAGCTACATGGTGTCAATGCTAAATATAATCCAGTATCATGTTTAAGTGCTGGTTTCATTTGTTTGGGATATATAGTATTCAGTTAACATACCATATCTCAATACTTTGTTAAGTTTCTCCCTTCTACCTTTTGTATTAGAAGCAATTACATTGACATTAGTGGGGGTTTTTTAGTTTTTATTAGGGTAAAATCTTACTCTTTTTCTTTTCCTTGGCTGTCCTACATTTTGCAGTGCCCTTGTCCTCCTTTGGTCACCCTGAAGGCCACTTCTTGGAGCAAGAAGGACTTGTTGCTACTGAGATGAAGCTGGGGAGAATCCCCCCTGACCTCTTTCTATTGTGGAAGCACCCACACTGCAGAAATAATCCAGTTTGATACCGCTTTAGCAGCTGGCATGGCTCAAGGCTGTGGAATTCTGGGAAGTGTGGTTTGTTGTGGAACCTCTGGTTCCACAACAAACCACACTTCCCAGAATTCCACAGCCTTGAGCCATGCCAGCTGCTAAAGCGGTATCAAACCGGATTATTTCTGCAGTGTGGATGCAGCCCCCAAAATATACCATTACCATAACCCCCCAGCCTCCCTCCCACTCCCTACCCACTGCCACGCGTGACAACTGGGGCTTCCTCGTCCCTTCCTCTTCCTCACCTGGATCAAGACCACGAGGATCCCTGGAAGCGAAAGCCGGAGTGGCTACTCCTGCCCTTCTTCCCTTCCAGGAACACCCGCACCACTCGCGCCCACTGCGCATGCTCCCAGGAGCTGCGCAGGCGCAGTAATGGCAGCGGGCGATACTTCCTGCCTTCATTTTGCCCTCAGTTGAGGAAAGGTTGCTTGTGATCCCCAAGCTGTGGCCTTTAAGAGGTTTTGGACTCCAGCTCCCAGAAGCCTCAGCCACGTCGGCCAATATCGTGGGATTCTGGGAGCTGAAGTCCAAAATCCCTTAAAGAGCCCAGGACGTCCTTTGAAAAAAAAAAAAAGGGGGGGGAGTGAGAACTTGGGACAATTTATATATCTTTAAACAGTGCTCCTGTTTATATAAGTGTTCTTTCAGGAAGCTGTACAAAAAGGGGCTGTTCACTTGGGGAAGTGGGGCTGGAAACAAATCAAGAGGTCCAAAAACACACACTGCAGAAATAATCCAGTTTGAGACCTGCTTTGACTGCCCTGGCTCAGTGCTAGGGAATCCTGGGAACTGTAGTTTTGTGAGACTTTGAGCCTTCTCTGTCAGAAGTGCCAGAATAAATGTAACCAAGGTCACCCAGGCTGCATCCACACTGCAGAAATAATCCAATTTGAGACTGCTTTAACTGCAGTGGCTCAGTGCTATGGGGTTCTGGGATTTGTAGTTTTGTTATTTATTTAGTCTTCTCTGTCAGAAAGCACTGGTGCCACAATGAACTACAATTCGCAGGATTCCCTAGCACTGAGCCAGGGCAGTTAATACAGTCTCAAACTAGATTATTTCTGCAGTGTGTTTGGGGACCAAAGAGTGAAAGTCCTAAACATGCCCAGTGTGTGTGTGTGTGTTGTTGCTGGCTGCCCTGCAGCAAGGTGACCAGATGTCCTCTTCCTTTTCCAGGACATGTCCTCCATTTCAGCCTTATTCTATCCAGGAGGAATTCCAAATTGTCCTCCATTTTGAGCACGACCCAGAACACACAGATTTATATTTCTATGAGTGTTTTTAGCTTTTATTCTGCAATGTCCTACATTTTTCTTGAATGGCCTACACTTGGTGGTGCTTTGTCCTCCTTTGCGGTGAGGACACATCTGGTCATCCTCCCCTGGACTCGAACTCGACTCATGGTGACCCTGTCAATGAGACATGAAGCCCCCCAATTCTCCACTGCTCTGCTTAAGTCCTGTCCATTCATGCCTCTGGCCTCCCTAATTGAGGGCCTAAGCAGACTGCCAGAAATAGTGCACATTAAATTGAGGCACTGCCCTGACTCAGTGCTACGGAATCATGGGAACTGTAATTTATTGTGGCACCAGAGCTCTCTGACAGAGAAGGCTCAATGTCCCAGAAAAAAATACAGTTCCCATGACTCCCTAGCACTGAGCCAGGGCACTGCCTCAATTTAATGTGCACTATTTCTGGCAGTCTGCTTAGGCCGCGAGTCTATCCATCTGGCATACACTGGTCTTCTCTTTCTACTACTTTCAGCGTTTCCAGCCATTATTGTCTTTTCAAGTGAGTCTTTCCTTCTCATGATGTGGCCAAAGTATCACAGCTTCAGTTTCCTCATCTTGGTTTCCAGGGAGAGTTCGGGCTTCATCTGGTCCAAAACACACTGCAGAAATAATCCAGTCTGATTATTGCCCAGGCTCAGTGCTAGGGAATCCTGGGAATTGTAACTCATTGTGGCACCAGCGCTCTCTAACA